GCAACAGGAAGTAAGCACTGCATGACAACTTTGATCTGATTTACGTTAAGTTTTGAATGCTTAAGTCTTTTGCATGGTGTCTGAAATGCGTGACGACAGAGTGGTCTCCCTCGGCTTTCAACGATAAGGGTATGGGGGTGGGGTGATACGGCGTGGGGCGATGCGGCGCTGAATAATATGCTGACAGATGATACTACTGCAGCACGCCCTGACTTGCTTGGACTGCTATGGCATCGTTGCTTGCAGCTTTAATTAAGATTGTACAGAAAAGCCACACATACCCACTGTGAAGTATCATGGTAGATCTATCCCTTGTGAGGCTATTTTTGTTCCAAGGACCGCAGAATAAGAGAAGAGTCCACAAGCATTGACCTTGGAATCTGAAGGCTCTGGAAAGAGATTCTGTACGGGTTTTTCGTCTTCGAGTATTTTAATCATGCATTATAGGACAGGACTTAAAGCTGTTATCTTAGCAAAGGGAGGATGGTTTAATTGCGGCACACATATTTTTGAGAAAAATATTTGTTAAATGATAAGAATTTAATGTTTCTTTCAGTTATGTTACTTCAATTAATTAATTACATAATTAACATTTTTTGAATTATAGAATATTTTGAATGAAAGATCATGAGGATAAAAAAAACACATATTTTCTAATGTAATTTTGCTCATTTCAACCAAAGCGTGGCAATAACTCTGGAGGGTACTGTAATGCAAGAAAATTCGCATTGGGTTCAGTCTGAGAGCTGGCCATACGTATGTGCAAATACCCACTGATCACTTAGTGTCACTTAGAATGTACCTGGAATGGCTGCCTCCTGGTGTCTCCCTGTTAGGCAGGTAAGTGTTTCCAAGTGCTGACAAAGGCGGTGGGGATCAGTGAATAAGGCACAGTGGTGATGGAGTTCCAACTATCTGATGTGGGGTCGTAACAATCCAATGTTTTACACCGCTGCGTCCCAAAATAACCTCCAACCACATACAACTTATTTCCTGAGGCCACAGCATGGCAGCTCATCCGTTTAGACGTCATGTCGCCAACCCGAGTCCACTGATTGGTTTCACAGTCAAAGCGATAAGCAGAGGCAGCTGTAAATTCAGTGTCGCCACCCATGATGAAGATCTGGCTCCCTAAGACAGCAGCCGCTGTGTAGCGCCATGGCTGTGGGCATTCAGCCGCAATATTCCAACGGTTTCCCAGAGGGTCGTAGCATTGGACCTAGATATAGAACACAGTGACAGTAGTTAGTTGTGACACTAACACTGATTATAGTATTGATTGTCAAACATATTAGGGCCAGGAGATTTCAGACAACAATGCAGTAGAATGTGCTAATATCATTAATTTTATTCAGTATACGTTTTACATTATAATATTCATACACAGTGGAGTAAAGAACATTTACAAATGGTTCTTCATTTAAAACAGAAAAATTAACTCAAATTAGAACATTTAGAGCCTATTTACACCTGGTATTAACATGTGTCTTGGATGATCACATCACAAGTCTAGAAACAAGCGTAAACGACCACAGACAACATATCTCTTGTAGTATAAACGCTAATGTGACCACCTTGAAAGACCAACTACTTAACTGACATCCTGTAAGTACACATGAAACAGTGGTCTATTTGGTGCTTGTGCTCTTTTACCTGCCAAGATAAGCAACTGATGTTTGTGAACATCTGTTTCAATTGATTTGACCAGTGAACTAGTAAACACAATATCTGCAGACTACCTTAAATTTAATTAAATAAATAAATCACACAATTTTGATAGTTATATTGAATGAGGAGAAACTTTAGAAACTTTGTGAAATGCTGTCAATGACATGTTTTTTTACTTTTTCTCAAACAACCTGCAAAATTATAATAGAAAACGTATATTTCACTTGGTGGTCTACAGGTAACAAAAAACACAAACGGAACAAAAACAAAAACTCTCCACAGGTAGTCCTTAACTATCTCATTATACTGCTTAAGCACTGATACTGGAACATTTAAAGGGATCATATAAATATAGATAAGCTTCTTCTGCATCATTTTAAATGTATGTTTTCACCAGATAAATTTTCCCCTTGGTAAAGTTGGAGATTGGTGGACTGGATTAATATTAATTTAAAGAAGTTCCTGAAAGTCTGTAGTCAATCTTATACCCAGATATTTCATCCCCAAAGGTAGTCCACTTAAATGGAAAGAGTGTTAGCAGGGAAGCAACCTAATGAGATGGGCATTACCTCTGATTTTTGCCAGTTAATTTTATAATCCAAAATTTTAGAAAAAGTCACATGGACACCTGAAATAGAGAAAACTGGGGTTGATAGTAACAACAAAATGTCATCTGCATATAAAAACAGTTCATGCTCCCTGCTTCCTGCCATCACTCCCTTATTTCTCAAGTCATCTCCAATTGATACTGCCAGTGGTTCCACAAACAACAACCAACATGGTTAGAGGATCACCCTGCCTAGTCCAACTACAACATATTAATTATGTGGGCCTTCTTATAAATTTGGAAAATGTTACACATTAAGTTATTTTTTAGTAATTATTTCCCAGTGTTTTGGCTACTAGACAGTGGGACAAACTGAAACTGAAATGACGAACGTAGAAAGCTGCCTTATAAGGAATTGTAAGGGAAAGGTAAATCCACCAACCTTGGAAGCCTTGTCTCTGTGTATGGTGGTCCCTCCAAAAACAAACAGTTTGAGTTTGGCACTGACCACGGCTGCATTACTGACTCCATCTCTTAAAGGAGCCATCATAGTCCATTTATTACTGAGAGGGTTATACCGCTCCACCTAGGAAAACATTAGAAAACGGCTTAGAGGCTTAAAGCAAAGATGCATGATGTGTCCAGGTTGAGTCAAACTCAGACAAGCAGCAGAGATTTCACCTGATAACAAAAATTTGATTACAAGTTGTATGTACTTCTGTACATGTACATATAATTAGGTCTTATCAATAAATAGAGATGAAAAATTTAAATTCTTTAACAATTTTCACAAAGAAGTTGATGTTTTTCTGACCTGTTTTGATGAAAAATTTAAATTCTTTAACAATTTTCACAAAGAAGTTGATGTTTTTCTGACCTGTTTTAGGGAAACAGATGGTGAGGCAGGAAAAACTCCGGCTATGGCTGTATGACCTCCAACAACATACAGACTATTCTCCAACTCAGCTGAACCATGGCCAAACCTGGAGAGAATTTTTATTTTTTTATTTTATTACTTTATTAATC